TTTTTGAGAAAGTGCTATGCTGCCTTCCATAGTGGTCGCACCATTTTACACTCCCGCCAACAGTGAATAAGGGTTCCAGTTTCTCTACAACCTCACCAGCATTTGTTGTTTGCTGTTCCACTGAACTTTGCTATTGTCACTGGGATGAGATGATATCTCATACTTGTTTTGATTTGCATCTCAGAGCTAGAGATTTTGAACATTTCTTTATGCGTTTGTTTGCCATCTGAAAGTCGTCTTTGGTAAAGTGTCTGTTTATATCTTGTGCCCATTTTGCAATTAGGTTGTTTACCTTTATCTTGTCGAGGTGCTGGAGTATTCTATGAATTCTAGATATAAGTCCCTTATCAGACATGTTATTACCAAATATTTTTTCTCAGTCTGTGACTTTTCTTGGAGAAGTTTTTTATATGCATAGGGATTTGATTCTTAGAAGGCCCCATTCTATTTTATTCTCTCCTGCTTGTAGATTTTTCAGGATGTTTGGAAGACTAATCATGCTATGTACTAGGGCTTCTAGAGTTCTTCCAAGCTTTTCTCTGATGGACTGTTTTCTTATGGGACAAGTGTCTGTTAAAGGCAGTGGAAAACATCGGAAAAAGATAGTGACAATGGCAGCACAACATTAAGAAAGTAATCGATGTCACTATATTTTACATGTAGAAATTGCTGAATTGCAGTCTTTTGGTATATAACAGCAATTTTATTTATTCAATGCATAATTATTATAAAGCAAATATTAATGAGCTATTTAAAGTTCTCTTTTCCCCCAAATAAGTCTAAACATATATTTTAAACTTACATTATTCAGATACTATACTTTTCAATAGTAAAAATGACTCCTATCACATAAACAAAGTTATATTTAACAGAAATGTATTTTGCATAGCTTCAATCTTTCAATTTAAATTAAGTTACAACTCAATGTTTTAGTAGTACCGTATTTCTAACACTTAATAGACATACAGTCAGTTGTCTTATTGAGCCAGAGGCATAATGTAATATGATGGTCATAGTAATTTTTAATCTGTTTTAATCTATCTTGATCCCTGCGGTATTCTTGGTGCCTCCAGCAATGCCTGGCATATAGTGGTGATGTTGTTGTTGTTATGTGCCATTGACTTGACGAAGAACAATGGGTCTGAACCTTGCCCTGTCCTGAGCCGATCTCACTGTCTAAACACACTTGCCCTTGCTGCTACAGCCACCTATCCACTTCATACAGGTCTTCTTCTTCTGTGTTGACACTATCCTTCCAAGTATGATGTCCTTCCCTTCTGGCCACATGTCCAAAGTATGTGAGATGGAGCTTCAAAATCGTGCCCCCAAGGAGCAACGTGGTTTTACCCTCTCTAGGATAGAATTACTTGTTCTCTTGGCAGTCCCTGTCCAGTCCTTTTCTCCAGCACTACAACTAAAAGGTTTCAATGCTTCTTCTGTCATCTATGTTCCTTGTCCATCTCTCAGAAGCATAGCACATAATTGTGTAGATCAGGGTCTGGACCAGGCACACCTTAGTCTCTATGATAGAATGATATTAATAAATTCAGGATTATCCAAACATATGATATAATTGTAAAAGTGACATCAGTTGCCTCCAGCTTGTCAAACTCATTGCTTTGCCCTAGAATTCTATTTTTCTTTCTTCAGACATATAGAGTACTTTAAAATCTTTGTTAATCAGGAAAGAAAATGCATCTTTCCTGGATTAGTATTCACTTCTTTGAAACGGTTTTTCTCAGTTACACGTTTTTTGTTTTTTTTTTATGGACTAGCAAATACCTCTTTGAAGATATTTTTCTAAGTTATTTGTAACTGCATTAACATTTATCTCTTTGAAGATGTTTTCCTCCATCATATGTAAAGTATATCACAAACTGTTTGTTTACTAGTAACTGTAACATTTAAAACAAATATAAAAACCAATGCCTACTCCTAGACAGGAAGGCAGAGATGATTCTCACGGCTCGGCCAGATCTGCCATAAAGTGGTTTGGATAATTGCAATTCATCTGCCTTTATTGGCAATTGACTACGGAAAGAGCCCCTTTTGTTCAGTAACATCTAGACTGACATCATTGCCCTTTAGCACTCGGGAGAGATCCTTGACAGCAGAGTTTCCCAACGTAACTTGTCTTTTGATTTCCTGACTGCTGGTGCCGAGAGTACTGATTATGGATCTGAGCAAGATGAAATCATTACCAATCTCAATCTTTACTCCATCTATCATGATGCTGCCTATTGGCCAGTGGTGAGAGTCTTTGTTTTCTTGATGTTGTGATGTTATTAGGTACCATCAAGTTAGCTCTGACTCAAAACAACACTATAAACAACAGAACAAAGTCCTGGCTAAACCTGCTCCATCCGCACTATTTCTGCTCCATCATCATCATCATCATCATCATCATCATTTCATTGCTGTCATCGTTGTGTCAGCTACGCTTGAAAAAGTAAAAAGTGAGTGTAAAAGGAGTCTTTCAAGGAGATGAATTGACAAATTGGTATACACTAGGTATTCTACAAATATTTTTGGAATGAAAAAATTAGGTCACACATAGAAAGCATGATAGTTTCCATATCATAAATACCCAGTAACTTGGAGCTAAAAAGAAATAGAGGAAGAAGTACATTTCTTGAAATTTTTGTTGTCCTCACTCTGATTGGGACATGACAAGTTAAGGGATTATGTCTTGTCATTGCTGAAAGGCCTAGGTAGGTTTATCAGTGATTCTGTCTTACAGTGTAAATGATACTTTTGATGTAGAAACCCTTGGACTTGACAATTGTGGTACTTGTCAACTCAGCCTCCCAATTTAAGAACTTTCTCTGTAGCTCAACCTCACTCACCCCATTCCTATGAAAATATCAGAGAAATAGCACTCAACTTAAGATGCAAGTCTCAAAAAATGATGGAAAAGAGATGGTTTATCAATACCCTACCATTATTTCTCAGTTATGTGAGGTGTTTTCTTTTTCTTGACACACAGAACTTTATTTAGAAACTGTTTAAAGTAGAAAAAACCCTGTCAAGAAAGAGCAGGTGGAAAATGAGTTCCCAATAAAATTTATGTGAGTTCTGAGAAGTGTCTCCTACACTGACTCCCAGAGCTTTTCAGAGGGAATTATACGCCAGTTGTCCACAGTGGTGACTGGCTTGATGACAAGGTTTGTATTGATCCCTATCCTTACCCTGTTTCACTTACCTGGCTCCCTGATGGAATTTTCTGGAATTGCCTTCCAAGTAAGCTACCTACTCTCTAATCTTTATCTTAGAATCCTTTTCTAAGAAGTGGAGAGAGTTACTTTACAGTTCATTGGACACAGTCAGGTTCACAAGAGAGGGCCATGGACCTTGGTACCTGGGGTGTACGAGCCATGAGGACAGCAAAGCTGGAGAGATGGAAACACTGGCATCTTGTGTAAGAATCATCGCTTTCCACGTAAGAGCAGCCCTCCGTCGACCAGCTGCCCCCTGCCTTCGATCCATCCCAGTAGACACAGAAATGTTTTGCTCTCGCATCAACAGGCTGGAAAAAGAACAGTATAGAAGTGATTCTCTTTCTCGTTTGTTATTTGTGCTTTATAGGCTGATCACATCTGCATCAGCACAGAGCCTGGAATAGGAAAATCCTGTTGTCTTGAGTACTTGTTGGGAAAAGCTTCACACCACCACCTGGTTGATGAGATCTGTTTGGTCAATCTTTCTGCCCTTCTCTGCTCATCTATTGACCATTCAGAGCTCGCTCATCAAGCTCCTTGTTCACTTGCAGTGTGTTGTATAAATGAGAGGCCCTGATTACTGAGGAAGAGAAAGTAGGGGTCTGTTTTTCTTACACATAATTTATTTTTTTTTGAAATGGTGGCTTGTTATGACGGTGGAAGTTATGCCACTCGCGTTTCAAATTCCAGCAGGATTGGATCCATTTCAGTGGAGCTTTGAGACTAAGACAGACTACTAAAAAAGCTCTGGTAATATCATTCTTTTTCGTGGCCTTTGGCACGTTTGAGTTCAGCGTTGTGACGACTGTCTAAGGGCATCTCAGTGAGGGTTTGCTCTTATAGAGGAACAACAACAATAATATCATTCTGAATATCGTGTTGTTGTTGGTTACAGCTTGTTTAACAGAAAAACATTGCTAGATTCTGCTTGATCTTAGCAGTGCGTGAGCCACATACGTGTGTTGTGTGAGTCTCTTAAGTGTTTTCTTCAGTCAATGAAAATGTTATGGATCACAAGACATTGTCTGGGGGCTTTGACTCACTTTGGATGTATTCTCAGGAAAGATTGATACTGGGAAAGAAAAAATGGCATGTGATGCTGTTCAAATGAATGGCCCACAAAGGTAGAGGAAACCCTCACTGAGATACCCTGGCACAGTGGCCTGAACTCAAACATATGTAAGACCAGGAAGATGGTGCAGGATTGGTCAATGTACTGTTTTGTTGTAGATAAGGTCACCATGAACAGAAGCTGAGTCAATGGGAAGTAATGTTTCCATCTTCATTTGGACAATTCCTTCTCCAGCCCTACTGGGCTCAATAGTCCTAGTACCCCTGTTGCTTCTTTTTTCTTTTTAAAAAAATTCCACCCTCCCATTCTATAGATTTAAATATGATCATGACTTTGTACTCCGGCACTGTCTGGGGAGCCTGAGGATGGAAAACTCACCAGCTCTTGTCAGTTGCTTTGAGTCTGAATGATCAGATTTTGATTGGATTTCCTACCAGACCTCTGATAGCACACTCTCTATTCTTTTAAATACTACGTGGTAGAATCTGTGCTAACACAAACAGTTATAGTAGAGGTACTTTGAAGGAACATGTGATAATCTACTTGCCGAAATGAAAAGAAAAAAAAAAATGAACCCGTAACCAAGAAAAAACGGGCCCTGAAAAAAGAAAACAACCCTGGCAAGGGGGAAGGAAAAGGCAAGAAAAGAAAGACCCAAAAGAAAAGGAATGGAAAAAGAACCGGGGCAAATGGGGGGTGGGGGGGTGGAAATAAGGAAAACGGCCCAAGAAAAAAAAAGGGTCAAAACTGCTGTGCATAGGGTCCTACAGGTTACAGGAACTCAACAGCATATAACAACAACAACAACAACATACTATATTGGTCGTTTGTATTTAAGCCTCTTCTTTAGAGTCACCAAGACCTCAGGGAGGGCCTTGGTATTTAAAAGTCGGTGGTTATTATGTTTTGGAGGATCAACCTTCTAAGTGGTATAGCACTCTTCTGTTAATATGCTGTACTGAGGTAATCTGGGGTTGCTCTGATGCTGAGCCTTGTGCCATTGGGGTGTAATGGCACAGTGGTTACCCATGGTGGACAGTTTAAGACAGGTTTAAGACAGATTTGGAAGCAGGAGTGTAATTCACTTCCTAAACAACATGCCTCTGGAAACTTTATGAACTTTGAGAAACAATGTTAGTTACAGAAAGGCTTCAGGTCTTTTGCTCATAGGGTTGCTTTGAGTCACGCTTGATTCGACAGCAATCAACAACAGTAAAATTTAGCCAGTTTCATTTTGATACATGTGAAGTCGTTATGACTTAGTGTTGATTCAATGGCAACTGGTACTGTGTTTATTGTTTGAAAAAACCCAACCATTTGGTTTTACTCACCTGAGTATGTTTAAAGGCTAAGAACACAGGTTTGGTTAGGTAAATATTTTTCTTTGAACCAATGGTGCCACTCACGATGTGAGAGTTTAGTATCACTTCCTGTAATCCTTTTCTGTCATTTAAGAAGGATTCGTTGAGAATATCCCCAAGAGTTCGATAGTTGATAAATGCAACAGCACTCTGATATGCAACTAGAAAAAGAGAAATAACTTTGTAAGATTTCTGTAATTGGGGGACTTCACACACTACTTTAGTTGAGGGTCATGAATCCTGCTTTGTAAACAAAATTACCTTTGGAAATTCATGATACTCCACATGCAATACACAACATGCAGTTGTGTATGCCCCATTTGGTATGAAATACAGATTATGAGGAATTGCACAGTGTAAGAGACAAAGGTGTAATACAGGCTGACCAACATGCTGTGAAACTATCTAGGAGTCTTTATCCATCAAATCAGAGCCATGAGGCAAGACATTCACGCTTCGAGAGGCAAGCAGACCTCAAAAGGGACAAGGAAACGATATATTACCATCTTCTATCTCAAGTTTACGTTAGACCTCTCAGTGCTTAGAGAAGGATACAGGGCAGCCCATTCCATTTAATTTACTCTTTTTCTCTCAGTGTCTCTTTCTTTCCCTGTTTTCTGTGCCTTTGAAATGCTAATCCAGTATCCCTCTTTTTTTGTGACTCCCTATAATTCCTTCCCTATTTCTATGACTCCCAGTGCTTATCATTTATCACTAGCCCTTTGAAGCTCTGACTCTCTATCCTTCTTTCTCCATGACTCTCATTTCTTGTCCCTTTGAAGTTGTGACCTTCTAGCCTTTAGCCACTAGGACTCTTCCTTTCAGGCTCCCTCACATACTCCTTCTTTCATTCTCTTTCTCTTCCATCTTCCTTTTCTTCCTCTCCTCTTCCTATTTTTTTTTTTTGTGTGTGTGTGTGTTTCCATGCAAGTATAGTTTATTCACAGAAAGTAATGCATCCTGAAGTTTAATGCAGTGGTTCTGAAATGGCAATGACTTATGTAGCACCCTCTCATTTTTTTTTTATTTTCTCAGTGTAAAATGATCTTATTTTAAAGTGTTTTCAAATAAAAAATGTGTTCTCAAACTCACAGTTGTGACTAAAGGTTAATCAGTAGCTGGAGATTTTATGGAAGAAATATAGCAGATATTTTTTCCACTTTCTCAAAGTAATCAGGTCTTTTTTTACCCCTTGAAATGTGTATATTCACTCATTCACACCTCAGATGTTTGTTAAAAGTCTACTGTATACTAGTCAGTATACTAGGAATTTCAGATACAACAGTAAACAAAAAGTTTCTAATATCAAAGAAACTGACACTGTAGTGGTAGAAAGAAACAGTAGGCTATATATTAGAGTTGGACAATAGACAGGACATTAGAAAACATTCTATAGTGGTAGGTGCTGTGTGCAGACTCAAATGATGTGAAGGAATAGAACAAGAGTTGCTTTTTGAAATGATGGGTTTTTCTGAACACTGTCATACTCCTATGGAGCAGCTATTGTATTTGAACTGTGTGCTTTAGGGACTGAAGTGCAGCTTCTTGCCACTAGGCCACTGTGAGGGTTTCTGAAGCCACTATGCCTTGGTTGACTGTTGGTGTGGGAGATTAGAGTACTGCTTTGAGAACACACAGTGGGAAGTTAACTGAAAACAGCTTACTAGACAAACATGCAGACATGTCCCAAGAAAATAGGGTGCATTTATGAAACCTCAGAAGACTCAGAAGAGCAGCTGTGAAAGCTTAATTTATGAGAAACTTAAGTCCTTGAAAGCCTGTGAAAAAAATACAGATTAATGAGAAGCTACTGTCCTGGAAAGTTTGCAGAAAACAGAGATAAGTTTCTTGGGTGCTCGTTAGGATTTTCTGGGCAAATCATTATGGAGCTCCAACTACAATGAAAACAGTTTTTAAAAAGAGACAATTACTGCCTGCTGTGTTGTAAGAAACTTAATAATAGAATGTATTCTCTCTTTC